ACGCGCCCGGCGCTCCCCCCCCGCCAAGCGCCCGTGCGCCATGTGCCCGGGGCCAGTGCCCGTGCTGGGGACCACGGGCTTAAGGTATGCAACTCCAGCTACATAAATATGTAGTCAGAACTGGCTTACCCTAAGCCAGGCATGGCAGTGAGGAGTACAGGCACCAGCTGGAGCTGATCTCAGCATTCCATTTACAAGTCTATACTAGAACCGCTAAATCAAATGTCAGAATGTTGATATCTGGCATAGTGAGTGAAGACGTGCCCCATACAGCCCCCCAGCACCACACTGACAATCTGCAACCTATCCTGGAAAACGATCACTCACTCTCACAAGCCTTGGGAGACAGACCAATCCTCGCCTACAGACAACCCTCCAACTTGAAGCAAATACTTTCCAACAGCCACACTTCACACCTGAGATACACTCACCCAGGAACCTATCCCCGCCAACTCTATTCACATATTTATACAAGTGACACCATCATAGGACCTAATCACATAAGCCACAACATCAGTGCTCATATAACTGCACAACCTCTAATATATGCCATCTAATGTCAGCAATGCCCCTCTGCCATGTATATTGGCCAAACTGGACAGACTCTATGACAAAGGATAAATGGACATACATTAGACATCAGAAATGGCAACACACATAAACCTGTAGGGGAACATTTTAACCATTTTAAACTTTTCCGTTAAAAGCATTTGCGGAAAATCATGCCAGTCTAGACATAGCCAAGGAGTCCCATGGGACCTTAGAGACTTGTGAATGGCACCTCAAATCTTGCCTTTGAAATGATAATTGTCATAAATTTGGCATTAGGATTCTTTGCAGGATTATGCAAGATAAAGTCTAGTTAAAAATCTTTAAGTCAAGAAATATATCTGACTTTGAAAAAGTAGCAAGAGAAAACAGTAAGCGAGTCTACATTTTAAATGTGAAACATCTGACTATTCCTTCTTTGTGAACGTCTCTGTCTTGAGAAGGGAAAGCTTTGAACTGTTCCTGGCTTACTCTTCTGTATGGCAGTCAGATCAGCACTGATGGGCTACGTCTACATTGGCATCCCTTTCTGGAAAAGGGATGCTAATGAGACGAGTCGCAATTGCAAATCCGCGGGGGATTTAAATATCCCCCGCGGCATTTGCATTTACATGGCTGCCGCTTTTTTCCGGCTTGGGGATAAGCCGGAGAAAAGCGCCAGTCTAGACGCGATTCTCTGGAAAATAAGCCCTTTTCCGGAGGATTTCTTATTCCTACTTTCAAGTCAAGTAGGCACTTTCAAGTAGGAATAAGAAATCCTCCGGAAAAGGGCTTATTTTCCAGAGAATCGCGTCTAGACTGTTTAAAATCATTTCAGAGCTAAAAACCTGACTTTAAAGGGTCAAGTAGATGCCTGAAAGCAAACTTCTTGACACACTCCTACCTTTTCTATTCGGCTACGTCTACATTGGTATCCCTTTCCGGAAAAGGGATGCTAATGAGACGAGTCGGAATTGCAAATCCGCGGGGGATTTAAACATCCCCCACAGCATTTGCATTTACATGGCTGCCGCTTTTTTCGGGCTTGGGGATAAGCCGGAGAAAAGCGCCAGTCTAGACGCGATTCTCTGGAAAATAAGCCCTTTTCCGGAGGATTTCTTATTCCTACTTGAAAGTGCCTACTTGACTTGAAAGTAGGAATAAGAAATCCTCCGGAAAAGGGCTTATTTTCCGGAGAATCACATCTAGACTGGCGCTTTTCTCCGGCTTATCCCCAAGCCAGAAAAAAGCGGCAGCCATGTAAATGCAAATGCCCCGGGGGATATTTAAATCCCCCGCGGATTTGCAATTGCGACTCGTCTCATTAGCATCCCTTTTCCGGAAAGGGATGCCAATGTAGACGTAGCCACGGAGTCCAGAGTAAGCACTGTCTATCCTGGCTTGCCCATAGGAAGTATTATAATGCAGAGAGCATAACGTTGATAGTCATGGAAAGGACATAAAAATACAAAACCTCCTACCCACAATCCAAAAATACTTTCCTAATTTACATCCCAGACAAAAACAAAGGTAAGTTATGGTATCAGTCACTTATAGGTGAAAATCTTTACAGGGATGTTATAACTATACCAAAAGAAAGCATTACAAATCCAGGAAATTCAGAGTTATGATTATACTTAAAAATCCAAACATGTTGATTTGTCTTCTGTACCCCAATTTTCATATAACTTAAAAACTACCGGAGTGGGGGGAAGTGACGCAAAACAAAGATACTTACTTCAGCTGCCATTTGATGCTTGCGCTGAAGCATATAATTTAGTTTCACAGGGCCACTTGGTGGCACTGATCTACTTGTCACCCCCTAAAGCTAGCCCTGCATCAGCAACCCCCCCCAACTCATCCCATGACCACCCTTGGCTGAGACACATTGATTTAAATGAGTTAATGTACCCCCTAAAGGTATGCACACTGGTAATGGTAGTAGAGACCTAGTGATGTAAGCTTGGAGGATATACCGTATTTTGCAGACAAAACAATGAGATTGAATCCGTGCTTTAAAATGCAAAATTGAACTCAGCTTTAATTACTGAGTTGCAATTAGTGCCTTTACAATGTTTTTAGTATGACAGACTTTTAAATTATTAGTTAGTGAAAGAGCCTGTTTAAAGTTACCTAAATGCAGCTATTAGGTGAATTTCAACATAACTATTTTCAGGATCTTCAACAATCTTTAAAACTTTTTATATTCCAGTATTTACCTTGCATCTGATTTGTTTCTTGATTGGATGAGGTTTACTCTTGTAATTTAAAATAACATGGACTTTCTTTGTTTCAGATCCACAGATATCTGGTCCTATAAAAAAAGTCATACTGTCTATTCTTTTTATACACATAGGCTACGTCTAGACTGGCCCCAAATTCCGGAAAAGGGATGCAAAGCAGGTAAGTCAGCATAGGGAAATCCGCGGGATATTTAAATATCCCCCGCGGATTTAAATAAACATGTCCGCCGCTTTTTTTCCGGCTTGGGGAAAAGCCGGAAAAAAGCGTCTAGACTGGCCCGATCCTCCGGAATAAAGCCCTATTCCGGAGGAGCTCTTATTCCTACTTTGAATAATTCCTTCAAATTTCCCTATGCTGACTTACCTGCTTTGCATCCCTTTTCCGGAATTTGGGGCCAGTCTAGACGTAGCCTATGTGTATAAAAAGAATAGACAGTATGACTTTTTTTATAGGACCAGATATCTGTGGATCTGAAACAAAGAAAGTCCATGTTATTTTAAATTACAAGAGTAAACCTCATCCAATCAAGAAACAAATCAGATGCAAGGTAAATACTGGAATATAAAAAGTTTTAAAGATTGTTGAAGATCCTGAAAATAGTTATGTTGAAATTCACCTAATAGCTGCATTTAGGTAACTTTAAACAGGCTCTTTCACTAACTAATAATTTAAAAGTCTGTCATACTAAAAACATTGTAAAGGCACTAATTGCAACTCAGTAATTAAAGCTGAGTTCAATTTTGCATTTTAAAGCACGGATTCAATCTCATTGTTTTGTCTGCAAAATACGGTATATCCTCCAAGCTTACATCACTAGGTCTCTACTACCATTACCAGTGTGCATACCTTTAGGGGGTACATTAACTCATTTAAATCAATGTGTCTCAGCCAAGGGTGGTCATGGGATGAGTTGGGGGGGGTTGCTGATGCAGGGCTAGCTTTAGGGGGTGACAAGTAGATCAGTGCCACCAAGTGGCCCTGTGAAACTAAATTATATGCTTCAGCGCAAGCATCAAATGGCAGCTGAAGTAAGTATCTTTGTTTTGCGTCACTTCCCCCCACTCCGGTAGTTTTTAAGTTATATGAAAATTGGGGTACAGCCTTCCACACCCTGCTCTGATTCCTGCACACACCATACTCTCCCCTGAAACCTCCCACATACACATCCCAACCCCCTGCCCTGACTCCTGCACTCCCGGCCTTAAATCCCCAAAAGGACCCAAGCAATGCTGGGTAAATCCTTTAGTATAAATATACTAGAAGATTTATCTGGTGTTGCTTGGGACCTTAATTTTTATTTTTCCTCATTTAAATCATTATTCTGGAGTGGGGCTGGTGATGAGAAGACTTCTCCAGACCTCTTTCACCACAGCAACTTGGGGTCAGGTGAGAAGCACCTTTCCATGGCTGCTACAGCTCCAGCATGCAGTTGGGGGAGAGGTGCATGTCCCCTGGCTGGGGCAAGTCCAAGTGTGCCTACACCCTGTACTCCCCAACCAGAGTGAGGAATGCAGCACACAATGCACTTTGCCCTTGCTTCCTGATAAAGGGGAACAGCCAGAAATATTCCTGTATGAATCTGGGGAACCTAGTCCCCCCCCAACCTCCCTAAAGGGTGCCTTGGGGGTGGGAGGGTCGGGGCTGGGGCAGTCCAGGATCAGGAGAGGGGCTCCTGCAGCTAGACCCTTTCTGCCTGGTGATTCTGTCTCTCTTTTCTGTATTGTTTTATGAGAATATCAAATCATTTATAATTATAATACGTATTTTGACAATTCATGCTTAAAAATATTTGAACCAGATAGATGCTGAATTGCTGATCAGTCACAGCATTTTTTACCTTTTCAGGGAAGTCTTGCATTAAATCTTTTGCTGTATCAGTTCTGGATTTGTCTCTGAATAATTGTGCAGCTATTGTGACAATATTTTAGCAATGCACATGTCCTATATAGGTGCTACAGGACTCCTTGTCACTTTTGCAGATCCAGACTAACACGGCTACCCCTCTGATACATGTAACTAAACTCACCAAACATAATGTAATACTGTGAATCTCCACTCATATTTTTCTGATCCAAGTTTGAGGAAAAGACCTTAACGTATCCACCACCACAATCTATTTTCTGCTCATGTTTTACTGTATATTGAATGACCAGAGATCTTCCTTTATTGTTAAATGGTTTAAATCGTGATGAAATGGCATAAAATTTAGAATTTTCGGTAGTTTGCAGACCTATAAAACATTAATATTTACATATGGTAACATAATACTTACGATTTTATCAATAGCATATAAAAACAAAACAGATTTTAATTACGTTAGAATAGGAATCCAGAACATCTCTGTGAAGGCAAATAGATTTTGAATCAATATTAATTTATGAACTGGATGGATGCAAAATTTGCTGTGGAAATCATGGGTTCAACTGTCTTCATTTAAATTTAAAGTAGGGGACATTCTCATGTAATTTACACTGTTATAAATTCAGAGTAACTCTGTGGCTTACATCTCACGCTTTACATCAGTGTAATGTAAATGTTGACAAAACATCACAAAAAGAATGACATAACAAGAGAGTTTTAAATGAAATCACAAAAAACAGCACTTAATATGTGATAATTTGTATAAAGAGCACACAGCAAGGCATATTTTAATTTGTATCAGAAATGATACAGAAATATGGAAATAATCTATTAAAAGCCTTTGAGGGGGTCAACAAAGAGGGGAAGAAGGGCGATTCAGGGAATATAGATAGTGTACTTGGACTTTCAGAAAGCCTTTGACAAGATACTCATCGAAGTATCTTATTTCATGACTTAAACTAGTCATGAAATAAGAAAGAAGATTCTCTTATGAATCAGTAACTGGTTAAATATACAGTTGGACCTCCCTGGTCTAGCACTCTCGGAACTTGAGTGGTCTGGCCTGACTGTGCTATCCTAGGGAGCTGCCAGCCTCCCAGCCAGGCTCTCCTCCTGGCCGCTAGTCACAGCTCCCAGGTTCCCCTCTGTAGCCAGACAGGAACCCCCTTGTAACATCCATTTTTGCTTGCCTGAAGCATACAGGGCACACAGAGCAGAAGGCCCAGGCTGTGTAACCGTGAATGGCTGTAAACAGAGATACGCCAATTGCTAACCAAGAGGCTGCCAAGGAGTGCCCTTGACTAAAACCCATATTAATACGAACACACATCCATCCGCGGGGGGAGGAATCTCTCGCCCAGTAAAAAATGTCTAGTGCTCACAATTTAGTTATCTCTCTTGCAAGTGTAAATTAACTTGAAACTTGCTTGTAAGAACTGGCGCCACAAAACAAACCAGTACAATTCAGCATCTTAAATTAAAAAAAAGGATACGGGCCCCCAGGGGTATACAGATGGGTCCAGCAGCGCATTTTCTCTGAGTGTCAATCTACCATCTATCTTCTGGTCGGGTTTGGTGTTTGATCTCCCGAGGTTCCAAGGGGACGCCCACCTCGTATTCGTCTTTCCTAGAAATTAAGAGACCGGCCCTGGCCTAACATGCTAAAGTCAAAAGGCACAGAAAGGGGTAAAAATTGTACCTGGATGTGGTCCTTTGTTTAAGTATATATATACATAGACTTAGAGCTCTTTAAAGATTAAGCTGTCACTTGGTACCATTATTTCTATTTTCTATCTTTATTTTCTTTGTAACCATTTTTAAAATCTGTATTTGTTAGCATTTAAAAAATAAAGCAATAGCCATTGTAACCATATGCTTTTATAAGTCCTTTAATAAACCTGTAACTGTTTAAGCTTTAACCTGACTCCTTCAGTTGCTGTAATAGAACCAAGCACAATTTAAAAGAACTTCAGCCGGTCATAAAGGGACAGACATAGGGAGAGCTTGGGCGTTTGGATCTGTGTCACTCCCAGGTGACAAGATCCGTTGGGGCACCTTTTCAGCCTTTCCTAGGCTGCCCACTGCAAAGGAACCCCTGTGTTCTAGCAGCTAAAATCTAAGGTGTAATAAGCTCTTCCTATATAACGGGGCGTCTGTTGGCCTGCTGGCTACCCTCTGTAATGGAACCCCGGTCCTAGCAGTAAAAACACAAACGTTAAACCTTTTCTCAAAAACATACACACACACACTGCCCTAACCGTCGGCTAACACCCTCCTGACTGTTGACCTCATTGTTGATCCCACCTCCTGGGTCCCACTCCTGGCCCCAGCCAGGCTCCCAGCCACTGGCCTGGCTCCACTCCCAGTCCAGCTATGTTACCAGCTGCCACCCCACCCCATCCCCCTTGCCGCAGTCCTGCTCCTGGTGTGGCTTCCTGGAAATGGTGCACTCCCAGCTCTGCCAACAGACCTCCCTGTCACTGGTCACTGTGGTCTAGGAACATTTGTGGTCCTGCTAGTACATGGATGTTGCTGGACCAGAGACTCCTGAATCAGAGTGGTTTATATTTTTTTTAAAAGCAGGAAAAGCAGTTTCAGAGTGAAAACAAGTAAATAGCAGTGTCTCCCCAAAGGACATGAACTGGGACCAGTACTGTTCAAGGTATTCATAAGTGATCTGGAGAAATGAGCAGTGAGAAGGCAAAATTTGCAGATGATACAAAATTATTTGAGTTAGGTCCAAAGCTGATTGTGAAGAATATCAGAGGACTCTCACAAAACCAAGTAACTGGGCCCAGGGCCATCCCCTAGGGCAGCAGTGGCCAACCAGTTAGACACTAAGGCTATGTCTACACTGGCATCCTTTTCCGGAAATGCTTAAAACGGAACAGTTTTCCGTTATAAGTATTTCCAGAAAACGTGCATCTACATTGGCAGGATGCTTTTGCGGAAAAGCACTTTTTCTGGAAAAGCGCCCGTGGCCAATGTAGACGCGCTTTTCCGGAAAATGACGATCGGGGCTTTTTTGCGGAAAAGACTACTGTGCTGTCTACACTGGCCCTTTTCTGGCATAGTTTTTCCGGAAAAGGACTTTTGCCCGAACCGGAGCAGCATAGTTTTTCCAGAAAACACTGACAATTTTACAGTAGATCGTCATTGCTTTTCCGGAAAAGCAAGCGGCCAGTGTAGACAGCTGGCAAGTTATTCCGAAAGAGTGGCTGCTTTTCCGGAATAAGAGGCCCAGTGTAGACACAGCCTAAGGGTACGTCTAAACTACAGGCTTTTGTCAACAGAGGCTTTGTTGACAGATACAGTCGATAAAGCCTCTGTCAAAAAAAAAAGAACATCTAGACTACAGCCAGTTCTGTTGACAAAGCAAGCCACTTTTTCGACAGTCTAGACTCTCTCTTTTGAAAAAGCAGTGTGGATGCAATAGCGCCTTTTTTCGACATAACTCTGTCAAAAAAAGGTGTTATTCCTCTTAGAATGAGGTTTACCGCCGTTGATAAAACTGCCGTGTTCTGTCGACTCACTGTCAACAGAACTCGGCAGAAGTGTAGACGGAGGTATAGTTTTGTCAACAAAAGTCCACTTTTGTTGACAAAACCCTGTAGTCTAGACACACCCTAAGAGCCAAAATAGCCATAGATAGTAGTGCAAAGAGCTACCCACCCCTCTCCCAGAGCCAGGCAACCCCAGATTATTTTATTCTTTTATTAACGTGGGTCTCACCAGATACCAGATGCCGCAGCCACACTCTTCTCCCTCCAGGCGCTGGGGCATGTGCAAAGAGTGGCCATGAACTGTCCTGGCATGCAGCTCCAAAAGGCAATCCAATGTTCCACTGAAGGCAGGTGCTGCCGTCCCCTCCCCAAATCCCGGACATTTTTTATGTTTTAAATAAAGCTGGGAAAGAGACATATTTCTCTGAGCAAAGAGCTGCATGTGGCCAGCCCTGTCCTAAGGGGGCGGGGGACCTGCAGCAACCCTCACCTGTACCTCAGGAGTGAGGCCCAGGGCAGCCACCGTAGGCCAAGCACTGCCTGCACCTTCCCTTTCTCTTCCTCCTTACCCTTCCCTTGAGCAATTCAAGCTGGAGATTACCAGGGAGCCTGGCATGGGGTGGCAGCAGAGGTCTCCCCTGCACTCACTGCAGTGGTGGGAGCCAGAGTGGCCCAGCAGCCTGCTCTGCTCTGCCACACTGCCCTCTCCCACCACCACAGTGAAGCCAAGCACAGAGGGCGGTGGGACAGAGCAGGCTGCCAGGATGCTCTGGCTCCCGCCACCAAGGTGAATCCAGGCTGCTGCCTCATGTCAGGCCCCAGGTAATTCTTTGGGTCACCCTGGGACTCAGTCATAAGACCATTGAGGTGGCCACTGTGGGGCAATTGCCTCAAACTGTCTTAGGGACAGGACAGCTCTGATTGGTCACAAAAATGACATATGAAATTCAGTGCTGATAAATGCAAAGTAATGCACATAGAGAAAAAATAATCCTAGCTATACATACAGAATGGTGGAGTCTAAATTAGCTGTGACCATTAAAGAAAGAGATCATAGGGTCATTGTAAGCAAACAATCCACATCTGCTCAATGCACAGCAGCAGTCAATAAAAAAAATCAAATAAAATGCTAGGAACCTTTAGAGAAGAGAGAGATAAGACAGAAAAAAATATAACCACTATATAAATCCATGGTATGCCCACATCTTGAATATTGTGTGTGCAATTCTGGTCATCTCTTCTCAAAAAAGATATACAGGTTGGACCTCTTTGGATCTCCTAGGGAGATTGCTTCCCTCCTGGGCTCCCCTATCAGCCCTGTTCACTGGCACTGGCTCCAGATAGGGCTGTGCTCCCTGCCACACCAACCCAGCTTATGTTGCACTCTGGATCCTGGCCAGCCCCAGTCCCAGCAGAGCTCTCTGGTCCAGCAAGATGCTGCCAGACCAGAGAGTCCTGGATTTCAGAGGTTCAGCTTGTATTGGAATTTTAAAAGAACAAAGAAAAACAATAAAAATGTTTATGTGTATGGAACAGCTTCCCTATGAGGAGAGGGTAGGCTCTGGACATACTGGTTGCTATAGAACTTGGCTCCTGAATGGATTCCATGATGAGTTCTACGCTTATCCTGCTATGGCATTTGCATGGATAACAAAGGGAAAAAGGGCATAAAAAGATTGTTTACCATCATTTTCAACTGGGGTGGGGTGAAAGAGATGAGTGCATTGTAGTGCAGGGAGTAGGGAGGGAGGAGATGGGTATTGACAACACGTACCAGAACACCCACTGCACTACGTTGGTCCCATCCAGCACTGGGAGCCTAACTGTGCAGCAGGAACTGTGGGATAGCTACCCACAGTGCATTGCT